TAACATAGATCTGTGTTGTATTCCCCCTGATGGTCATTTAACTGTACACATTCAATACATTTTTCTAAAAGATGGTTTGAGTTATTTTAGGTCGTTCTTATCCCACTGGTGTTTGTTCAAATGTTTCATTGTAAGTTTGGTTTCAATTAGTGAAACTTGACAATTGACAGCTGAGACTGATATTTGGTGGAGCCTGTGTTTCAGTGGGACCTTGATGGCAAGATGGCAGCGTTTTTATCCAGGTTTAATTTCTGGACAGTAGGTGGGAGTTGAGTATACCTTCTATGGTAGAGCTTCACAGAGCTGCTCTGGCTGTGACTCATGGTCTTTTATCTCTATCAAGCAAATGATATTGTCATGCGAGTGACCATGTAGTACTGGCATCTAATGACTGAGCCATACAATGGGGTTAAGCCTTCATGTCTTTAATATGTGTATTAAAAAAATAGCTGAGAAACAGAAAATGAACAGTTCCTACAAAAGAAATCAATTTTTTCCTTCCAGACAGTCTAGATTTAATTCAATGAGAGTGCCACCATTTGTCTGTACTTCTTCTAAATGATCACCTGAGCCAGTGGGATCTGTGTTTGCAGCCGTGCATGACTGGAGGAACAAAAGCTTTGAACCAGCAGCCATACAAGAATAGTAACAGTAATCATACTAGTGGGCAGAATAAGACTTTGTGCAGGTCTGTAGTGAAAGTAATGAGGAGGAGGATGGGTCTATGTTTTAAAAATATCTCTGCTCAGTCACATGCTTTGTTTCCAGAATACTGCACACAACATACATATGCTGTTGTTGCTGCTGCCACTGTCCCGTATAACATGTGCATATGTGAAGACAGAAAAATATTGGGGAGATGAGGCGGTGGGAAAAACAGTGAGTTTGAGGTGAGTCGGTGTGAGACAAGACGAGACTAGGTTCTTTTTCCACTGAGCCAGAGCCGAGAGGACGATGACTGAGTGTGGGAGAGCTGGAGCAAAAGGCACAGTGACTCACTCATCAGCAGCAGGGCTCCTCACATATGAACCGAGCCCAGTCTGAGCTCTGCCCCTCAAAACGCAAGAAAGCCGGGGCAGGAGGGTGCAAGGTCAGCTTCAACCAGCCACTCTTTTTTTTTTCGCAAACCAAGTTCAAAAGATATCAGTACATTTTTTGCAGCCAGGGATGATGGGATATTAAATGTCAAGGCACTTGCATCAGGCACACCAAGAAAGGAAAACAGCAGGGTCAACAAAGTAGGATGATGTGCATGGAGGATCAATGACACTAATTCAAACTCAAAAAAATAAAAGAATCATGGATGTCACCAGTGATTCATTTGCTCTATAGATAAGCGCCTCCTGCAGCAGTAAACACCTTATATGTTTAATTAATACACTTAAAAAATGAACCTTTTATTTCTATATGATGCTTTTATATTTGAAGTTATAGAAGAGGTGTTTATATAATTTAGTTCTACCAAGACTGATCATCTTCATCAAAAGAGGGTGTATAGCAGGACTATTGAACTATTTTCTGTTATTTAAAAAAAGGTAAAAACACTTGCTTAAAGGTGCTTTTATGTTTCTATTTAATGCTTTTATATTTGTAGTTACATAAAAAGGTGTTTCTGTAATTTCCAACCAAATCTGAGCAGTATAATCCTCATCACGTGAGGGTTTATTACAGGACTATTGAACTAGATTGAGATTTTTTTCACTAACTAGGTGTATACCTGTAAACACACTTGCTTAAAGATGCTTTTAAATCTCCTCCTGAATCTTAGAGCAAATAATTGCATTCGCACAGGAACAACAGGCAGCCCCTCGTCTAATGCAATAATGTCATGTGTGCAGCTGCAGATTAGCATTTACAGGTACTGCTAATTGGGACGATGTCTCTGAATTCTCCTTAAAGAGTTCAGACGTTGATGCACAAGTGAAAAGAAACAAAGAGGAAGAGGAGCAGCAGTCAGCTTAAGAAGTAGAGAGAAGATGATTCAGATGCTAAACTGGAGGAGAGGTGGGGGTGCAGCGACAGGAAGCAAGAATATCAATTAACTGATTGAAAAGATTAATGAATGAAATGGACGGATTTACCTCGAGGTGAGGCTCGCTCCTTCATCGTCCACAGAGGCAGAGATCAGGTGTTAAATCCAGCCCCTCTCACTCGGTCCAAGTTCGGCGGAGTGAGGAGGATTTCGCGTGGATTCCTCGAGTGATGATCGCCGCTGTATGGCTATAAATACTGCTGGGTGGCGGGGAGCCAGGGGAGTGTGGCTCAGAGGAACGTAAACAGGCATGGGGACAGGAGCGAGGCGCGATGGAGACAATCCCAGTCATCCTCTCCTCCTGCGGGCGTGCTGCCGTCATAACGGGAGCCACTTCGCACATGAGAGTTCATTAGCATTGTGCGATTCTTCCTCAATGGGGATCGGATGGGTTTTAAGTGGATGCAACAGGTCCGGCTGCACGTTTGAGACGCTGCGGCCACCAGATGCATGGACTCGGGTGCAGTTTGTACCACTAGATGGTGGACTACAGCCACGTACCTGCCACACAGCAGGTGGAGGAGGTGTGTGCAGAGAGATTGAAGGACAGAGAGAACAGTGTTTGTTTACCTCCATCCTTACATTACCCACATCACTCACAGAGGACAGGGCAGCTTTCACTTCTAACCCTTCATATATAAGAGTATCTGTAGCAAAACACTGGCAACTCTAATTCAGCTAATGATGTATGACTACAGGGGCCCCTGGTGACTGTGGGGCCCTAAGTAGCTGCTCTCCTCACCACAGTAACAGTTCATCTTTTCTGCCCTGTAACCTTTAAGGCAGATGTTGCCCAAACTGTTCACCTCATGACCCCTAAGATGTGTTTAAGGCCCAGTGATCCCGCGGAGCGAGTTCACACAGAAACATTCGCCTACATGTTGCATTGTTTCCTGTGGTGCTGTAACTCAAGCTGTCACCGGAGACGAGAGAAATCCGAAGGCCGATGACTGATTGCTTGGTTTTATTTTAAATTTAAGAAGAAAAAAAACCTTTTTATCTTTTGATACAATTGTGGCTAAAATATATTATTGAGGGTTGTTTTTTTTAATTTCAACAACATATACAGTGTTAAATATAAATCAGATTTAGATGATCTTTCAGTAACACTAGATTATTTGGGGGAAGAAAAACAAGTGACTCAAGCAAACATCACATTATACTGAAACTCTGATGAAAGACCTTTTTGTGTATCTCACACTCTCAGTGTAATTAGCTTCTTTTGTACCTTTGCCAGGTCACAAAAAGTGAACCAGAGCCCAGGACAGAGGATCATTTTTTCCCCTCTGTGATTAAAACACGGCCACGATGGTCTGTGTAGTTAATTAAAAGGTCGTCTGTGCTCTTTTTAACCAATCCCATTATTCCCTGAGCTCTGGAAGAGGTGTTAGCGCAGGGAATGAGAGCAGCGTGGAAACCATCTGCTGCCACCAACACTGGAAGGTAAATGAAGACTTCAAATCCACACACACACACACACACACACACACACACACACACTCGTGCCACACGCTCCTATCCAGTCTGTGTTGCTTTGCCTATATCTCATCTATTGTCCTGGGATGAATCTTTGTCTTAATCAAGATGACGTTTTTCTTTCACAGTCCCCTCAGCTGGTGTATTTGCAGTGGTGACGTCAAGTTGTGGAAGATATAGATATCTATAGACCGCAGCATCTCAGAAGCCGTTTTAAGACACGACTGAGGATTTTGTGACATGAAGAACACTGAGGATTTTCTAAGTCCCCATACCGTATTGTGTGAATTAGATATGGATTTATGTAATCTACCAGAATCATCTATGTGAGAAAATAATTGCAGTCTTATCCTCTAGGCACATGGCCAAGTGGATGCATGAAGTGAAGACGTCAAGCAGAGAAACTGCTGCTATTGAAAGAAGAAGAAAAAAAAACGACATCAGAGTAAACCATCAGGTGTATGTATGTGTTGGGGGGACGTGCATGCTGTTCGGTGCATGAGACAGTTGGTAGTAAATGGTTGGCAAATCAAATCTGGTCTGGCATGAGAAGCTGCCCTCAGGCAGACATCAGATCTGGTTTCAATGCTTACTGGCTCCGATTTTACAGACGCCTGCTTGGTGTAGTGCTGTTTAATTTTTCTGGGATGAAAGTATGAAGGCAAGTCTTCATGGGAAAAATATATAAAAAAATATCTGCGACAGTCAATGTATGAGCAGCTAAAGAGGGAAGTTAAAGGAATCTCTCTCCAACACATAACTGACATTACTGTAATACAGCCGAGGTAACTATAGTGGAGTGTTTGTAAGTAAGTACATGTACTCAGATTAGGTACAAGTAGTTTAAATGAGTACTTTCTTTTCATGCCGCTACTAATACTCGCTAAGAAGAATATACTGACTCAACTTTTAAGGTTGAAATTAAGCTAAGAATTCCAAAGTAAGACTAACACAATAACTTTAGCACAGCAAACAATTATATATATATATATTTTATAAAAAGCTTTATTAATGAGGTTATTATTAAAGACATTTGTTTAACCTATAATTAGTGGTCAAATTAGTGGGGTGGGGGGGCATTACAACTTCCTCCACCAGTGCAGATAAGCATGAAAGAAATAACTTCACACATAACTACAAGCTAAGTGTTAAGTGAACTGTGTTGAAAATATGTAATTAGAATGTGTATATGTATTGAGAGAGAGCGAGAACGTGTGGTCAGTGGTGAATATTTTACATTTTTAGTTCAGATTTTTACATTTCTTCAGGCTGCTGGAAGAATTTCAGCTCAAGGACAATAAAGTTTGAAGTTGAGGAACCTTTAACTTCAAACTAAACACTGACCTCAGTAGAAACCATCAGTGAACTGCTCACATCTCGTGATTGACAGTATATTTCAATGAAGCCACTTTTCTTCCTGAAACGTCCAAAAAATACTGGAAAAGGGTTTTTTAATCATCAAGAGTCAATTTATTTTCATATTCTAAAATTCAAAGGACATAACAGGATTTGAGAATAAATCCAAGGTCAAGTGCACAAAAATGTTTCACTGCAAGCGATTATGTACAAGAATGAAATCAGCAAATCTGTACAGAATTCGACAGGTACTGCATCGATATTTAGAGTCAACTTTTTGAACCTAATAACAAAGACTAGACTGGACTTAGATTAATTTGCACTGAAGATATCTTTTCTTTAAACACATCACATTAATTCATTTACATTTTAGTGAAACTTTGTTTGCTGAATCAAAAAGTTCACTTTTAGTGCATTAAAAAGACCACTTAATGTTTGTTTGTTTGCTTTTCGTACATTAAAGATTAATATCCCATCAAGGTAACGCTGTGTGGCCTCATAAACAGACCTGTTAACATTCACTTGTAAAGGAGAAACAAACCAAACAAACATCCTCACCATCTGTTTACCCAAACATGCTACCCATAAATACACTGGCTAGCAATTACAATTTGATTGTACCATCATCGTATAATTAACATTAGTGCGTCATATGAACATTAAGAATCAATGTTAAATTCTTAAATTGTTTTGCTCGCAGCAGGAAGATTAGCTGCCATAAACATTTGGCAAACATTTTTTTTTTCTGTCAAGCAGATGACCTGTAAGGAAACTCTCTGTTCAGCAAGTTATTACAGAAACATGACTTTAGCCTGGGCGTAAATTATTACCATTAATGGTTAAAAATTAGGGCTGGGTGATGCGGACACATCGTGGTAAAGATCATTGTGTTTTTTTTACAACCTCCACCTGGTTGCTTGGACCCCGGGACATTAGCTTGGGGTGCTAGTTCCGTTTACTGGAAATGTCCCAATTTAACCACTAAAATGCTCATTTTCAGAGAAAGACAACAAAACAGTTGTCTAATGATCCGACCATGTGATGCAACAGGGTAAGTGCACAATCCAGCCAGAGAAAAATGACTAATAACATGAGCTATGAGGAATATTTATACACGTTTGATCATCACAATGAATGTAACTCACCCAGCTCTAGTTTAACGTAACCCAGTGACGAATCACCTTCTTCCCGGCGTCAGTCCGTGAAGCAACACTGCATTTTGCTGGAATTATGCGTCTACTGAATACAAGATACAATGGATCTGAAAGCTATAATTCAGTTCAACACTATGCGTGCTATAGAAGAGAAGCCAAAAAACACTTACTATCAGTTTAAATCAAACCAAATATGAAACTGACAATTTTCTCGTAACACAGATGAGTTTAAATACATGAGTTACACAATTTTCTTCTTTGTTTTTTTTTTTTCTCAAACCTTCAGTAGGGAATAACGAAAGTGCTCTGGTCAAACCTGTAAAAAAATAATTTATACACACGCTCGTCGTCTGACCGCAGGGTTTGTCACGAAATTGTTGACAACTGTTTTGCTTATTGATGGTCGTCCCCCCAGTCTCTCTGCTGCTTCTTGCCCTCGCCGCCCGTCGGTTGGATTAGTTGTCATTTGTTAAAAGGGAGGCAGGCGGGCAGAATGACGTTGGAACAGGCTGGGCCCGCTAAAGGCTCTGCCACCTCTCCCTCCAACTCTGTCCATGTTCCTTTCTCTGGGCTGTAGCAGATGGTGGAAGACTTATAGGCTCCCTGAGGAAAAAAATAAAGTCATTCTTTTCATTAGTCTCAGTAGCTGTTTGGGTTTCTAACGGGGGGACGGAGAAATGTTTTATACACTTTCATTATTAAAGGAATAGTGTGGTGATTCTTTTATACATTTTGTCAACAGATTCCATTAAAGGACGGAACCCAGTTAACTGATCCTGATAATGAGTGATGCCTCTGTAGCCGGATGAAGCTTATTGCTCTGTGCCACAGAGCTGCACTGTTCCAAAAATGATTAAAAACACCCGGGTGAGGCAAACTGTAGCACGGAGAGACACGCTCCTCTCATGTACAACATCCTGCTGCCGTACAGTACACTCATGGCAAATGTGTATTCATGCACAGTTAAAAATAGTTCCCCACAAATACACTATTTATTCTTGTCTCACTCTAAGAAAATTGTACCCAGCTGTAGTCTTTTTCGAAAATAAAAATATATATATTTCTGATATTTCATATTGAGAGAGAGACTCAAATGTTAGGTTGGTTCCCATCCAAAGACCCAATTCTAAAATATGAAATAAATATAGCAGTAATGCTGAAAATTAGACAATTGCAAAAAAATGGAAACATAATATACATGAAGAATGTGACCTAAACTTTCAGTAGACATTTAGATCAGATCAGGGGAAATGTGTTTAAATCATGCTGGAGGTTTTACTGTTGCTCCTCTAATCACTGAGCCTTCACATTTCTGCAATAGTTTTACGGCTCCAGTCTGGAGAGTGAGCATCACCAGCTGTTTATCTTGATGAACCAACTCTTAATATTCACATAATGGAAATGTATGATTCCCATTTTTCATTTTTGTATGTAAACACCTTTCCCAGGTTTTATCAACAGTCTTTGTTGGTACAGAAATCTGTGGCTGAGAGGTTAAGAAACATTATTGATTTTATGATAATACAAGGATATGAATAACAAGGTATTTCATGTTCCATGTAAACGCCAATAAAAAAGACAGGCATGTAAAAACACTCAGTATCTGTTTTCTTTTTCCACAGGATTTGATGACAGTAGCAAAGACATAAAACATTAATATCCTGTTCCTTTTAATGTAAAATCATCTGATCTGAAAAGATACCGTACCATGCTCCAGCTGTATCCGCCTACTAGGAAGATGCTGTCGTCCAGAACAGCACAGCCCGGGCCACTGCGACCCTCCAGGATGGGAGTCTGCAGGATGTTCCACTGGTCGGCTTTCGGGTCATAACACTCGACCAACATCACGTCCAGATGAGAGAAACCTGAGAGAGGACGAAGAGAACTGTGTTCAAGTAATTCAGTTTGTGTATCACATGCATGTCTCAGTAACAGTGATCAGCTGGATGTTTGACTGTTAAGGCCTTGAAAAGACTTCTTTCTATTTGTCTTCTTGTGAGTCTGAGAGATAAGATTTCATGAGAACAGAAAAAAATTATTATTTCTTCGTCTATGGTTTTCTCTGCATTCTTCTCATTGGTTCTTAAGTGAACTGAAAAGGTAATGTCATGTTCAAGGATTTCTGTGCACAGAACAGAAATCAGGAGCATTTAAATCGTAGAGGTAACATGACAGACAATTTATGCAGCTAAATACATTAGAAAGCACGAACACATGGATCAGCCAAAAAACATTTTTCTTTCTCTCGTCTCCCGGGTCTCTGAAGTCTGTTTGATTAAATCTGCAAGCTTCAAGCTTTTCCCATGTGCCTGAAAACTGCCAGAATCTGAGGGCAATTCTATCAATATTTCATTAGAAGTAGACTCAGAGTGTTTTATAATAAATCTGATAATAATGACATATCTGTTTTACACAGTGTTGAGAAAGAAAAATGAACCCTGACCTGTTTTCTGTTCATTTCCTGAAACACTTGAGCACTTACCTTTCAAATGGTTTCCACCAATAGCGTACAGGCGGTCGTTCATTCCCGCAAGGGCATGAATAGCTCGCTTTGTGTTCATATCCTGTTTCCTGGCCCACACATCCATTATGGGGTCATAACAATATAGCCAGGACACATACTCCCCATTGTGTACTCCTCCTGCAACAAGCAAACATGGCATTACGACTTCAATACTGAGTCTAAATAAATACTGCAACTACACACTCCTGGCTGCTTATGTAATATAGTAAGTACTACTTCGGACTGACTGACATGGCTTTGTACATTGTTCTAGGATATATTTATATATCCCAAAATATATATATGTATATCCAAAAATGTATTGATGTATTACTGAACCAATTATCAGGGTTTCCATGTTGAAATATATCACAAATTATCTTAAACTTGTAAACTATTTAACTTTTAATATTTTACATCTACAGCTGATTCCAGAGAAGCTTGTTGGCTATTTCTCAACACTTAGTAGATGCCAGTGTAGCTTACAAAGGTTACACAAGGTTTTTTTATTACATAAAAAAAAGCACAATGACCTAATAGAACAGCCTCCACAGTACATAATGAATTCAGCAGATGTATTTGTCTTTTTCAGAAACCAGGTGCCTCTTTTCAAAAGACGAGAGGATAACTGTGAGTGAGTGACAGCCTCTGACCTGATATGTAGATCTTGCCGTTATGTACCGCTCCTGCATGGGCGGCCAGAGGCTGCGGCAGGGATGACACGTAGTTCCACTCATTAGTCTCCAGGTTGTAGGACTCCACGCTGGACAGGTAGCCCGTCTCATTCCTACCACCGATCACGTACAGATGCTTCTCCAGGCGGCAGGCGAAGAAACTGGCTCTCCTGAGGAGGGGGGGGGGTGTCAACCAGACAACATCATTAAAACGGCAATGACAAGATTCATTGTAGGATTTTGTAGTTTGTAGTTTCTGAGGAAGGAGAAAAGGATTATCTCTTTTTGGATTTGTTAATGGTGAATTAGGAATACAGTAGTTACAGTACATTGATTGATGATCGATCACCTGTTTAAACATGATTTTAAATACCATAAATGAATTTATATACAACGTGGGCCGACATGGCCTCAAGCAGCAGGTCCCTGAATCGATCCCGGCCTGATGGACAGCGTTTCATTTTTCTCTCCACTGTCACTATACAATAAATCCAACAGGCAAAACAATACTGAAAAACTATCCTGGTGATTCACAAACAATAATGTTTGTGTAATCCCCCTGAAAGTTCTGCATCACCAGATATATTTACCTTTACTGTATATTGCCTTTTGGAAAACATCAATTGGGAGTACATTGGGATCCATTAGCGATAAAAAGCTATTTAAGAATAAAGGACAAGATGGTGAATTCCTAATGAAATCTTTAATATAAAGTTATATAAATAAATGTATGAATGAAAAGGATGCATTCAAAAGGCTCACCTCTCCTGCATGGGGGGCAACTGTATCCAGCTGTTGAATCTGGGATCATAGCGGCTGACAAAGTTAGTGCTGTGCTTTCCTGCGAAATAAGATACAAACCAAGATCAATGAAATTTGATAGGAAGAAAAAGTGCTCACATCTAATGAGCTAAGTCTTTGTTACACACCAATAAAATGCACAACTGTTACTCTGCACGTCTTCATTTAAAAATAAACATATACTATTTGAAAATCACCTCCCACTCGTGCTGACTTTCTGTGTTAGTGTTTGTGTGAAATGTTTCCCCACAGTCAGAGTTAAACAAGTGTTGACTGAAGGATTGTGACTGAAGTCATTCATCAAACATCAGTGATCTGGTGTCGTTCAAAAAGTCTGATGTTATCTTTGATGCTGTGGGTCGGTAGTGTGTTAACAATGCTGATTTCACCATGTGTAGAACACTGCTACTGTTCTGTTGTATGATAATGACAATTGGTCGAACAAGAACAAAAAGGACAACGGTGATCTAGTTTTCATTAACATGTTATGTTACCACCGTTTCACAAAAGTACAATTAAAACTTCCAACCCACAAATATTTCAGTCTTAATTCCAGCTGTTATTTTTGTAAAATTGGATTCGGTTGTTGTTTGTCCATGCAGAGCTGATCTGCCTCTATAAGTTAAGAGTTTGAAACTCGCTGAAAGTGCCACACCAACTCTGATGGATTAGATACGCTGGCTCAGGGCGCTCTTTACAAATTTGATGTGTGAAAGCGAGACATTGATCGTTTGGTGTTTCAGTACCGTTGGGGTTCCACTGGTCCTCTCCACCCAGCAGCAGCAGGAAGTTCTCTACCTCCACCACGCAGTGATGGGCGCTGTTGTAAGGCATTACTAGACGAGACACAAAAAATCAAAGGTGTCAGACATGACAGCATGAGGGTGACACAGATCAGTGGGAAGCAGACAGCAAACTAAACCTGCCCTCCAACAACATTAGTTGGTCTCACTCTGATCGTTTGCATCAGGATTTTTATATCATTTGTCATAAATCTACAGTAAGAGAACACATTATAAATACAAACTATTATAAATCCCATTAACACGTTTGAATATTGATGTCCCCACATGCAGAGTACAGCCCTAACCCCTAGTCCTAAAATAAATCTACTAAACTTACAGCTAAATAACACCTGGTTTCATTTTTATAAAGTAGCCTTTAAATTCAAACCCTTTAAATTCCAGTACTTTAGCCTCTTTTGACCATTTCAAATGTGTCTCACAAACGCAAATACAAGCAGTTGTCACTTTATTAGGTAAACAATGCTAAAAGTAATGGAGTCTTATACAACAGTACTGCAATAAATCCAATCTTAATGACGGTTATAATGTTTAGTTTTTACTGAAACAGTTTTTTGGGAAAGCAGCCGATTCCAATTTACAGGCTGCAATTCAAGTTGGTGATGAATCGTATTGTCTTATACTGACAGAGGTTTCTATTATTTCATCTGCAACACCACAAACTATCATGTAAAATAATCATACAGTTGAATGAGCACACCTCTAAAACAGTAGTGATGAAATGAGTAGAGTAATGTATGAAGCAGGATTTACTGCAAGACCGTTGGATTAGACAGCATCGATTTTAGCTAGGTGTACCTAATAAACTGGCAACTGATGGAGAAAGTTATGTTTTCCCTGGATCTAACCATTCATCCATCTGTACAGAGTGATTTCTTGTGGGGAATCAAACCTGTTGACTCTGAAACTGGAACAAATCAGTATGAGGCAGAGCGAAGAGTCGACTGTTTGTTATCACAATATGTATCTATCTATCATTTTTTCTATCTATCTATCTATCTATCTATCTATCTATCTATCTATCTATCTATCTGTCTGTCTGTCTGTCTACCCACCTGTCACTCTATCTATCTATCTGTCCATCTATCTGTCTATCTGTCTGTCTGTCCATCTATCTGTCTATCTGTCTGTCTGTCTTCCATATCCACCCGTCACTCTATCTATCTACCTACCTATCTACCTACCTATCTATCTATCTATCTATCTATCTATCTATCTATCTGTCTGTCTGTCCATTTATGTGTCTGTCTATCTATCTGTCCATTCATCTACCTGGCGCCTGTTTTCATTGTTATGAGCCCACAGACGCAGTAGGACGCCTCACACACTTGCGTATGTTTTTGTGTGCCC